TCGGTTACTAAATTCAAACCATTTTAAACATCCTGCTTTCATCTTTCCAGCTCGCTCCCACTTTTTAACTGCGTTGCAGTTACAGAGGAATGTACTTGACATATAAAACGTGCACGTGATTCTTCTAACATTTTAATGCCATGTATTGTGTTGTAAACATCTCTTCATGTTTTATCTCCTCCTCCATAAATCAGAGGCCAGTATCTTAGAAGTCTCAAAAATGACATGTTTTCTCCCTAATATAAATGTAAGGCTCTACTCCTTGAAACTTGAGGCAGCTTTCAAAAAATCATCAAAACCCAGAGCTACAAAAAAAGCAAAAGATTAGTACCTAACTTAATATTATTTTCTCCCACTCCATTTCTACGACAGTATAGTATAGAAAAAAAAAAATGTTACAAAATTGGGCTTCACCAATCAGAAAATCAATGTTTTTATTATTTTTTGCCACTTGTAAGAAACAACACTAAGGTAAAAATGCCTCCTTGTGTATCCATAGCAATAGACAACACTGAAAGAGTCAGGAAAGCCGGCAATACAGAAAAGTGATACGCTAGGAGTAATTACTTGTTTTACTCAAGATTAACATGCAATGTTTACAAGATGAAACCCCAGAACGTATTTCCATTTCCTTACCATAACTGCAATTAGTAAGACTGATGTCTTATAATGAGATTTTCCAGTGGTTTTGGCCAGCTGAGTAATGTCCCAGTAAAACCGTGTCTCAGCCTATTCCTTGGTAAACGCATTAAGTGATTTTTATTTTATTTTTAATTAAAAACCACCGTAAAATATTGATTATTTTGAAAAGACAGAACACCAATAAAGAACACCTGTCCAAAGTAACTTTCAGTTACTTCAACGATGGAAAAAAAAAAAAAAAAAAAAAAGAGTGAGAGCCATTAGAAAAAGGGGGGAAAAAAAGAGGAAAAGCAGTTTTAGCAGGTGGGAGTGAAAAGTGGTGACATGTTGTAGTACAACACGGATGGGCTGAAGGACGTAACACGGTGTTGCGTGATGTGGAAGAGAAGCAGGGAGCGCTGGATGAGCGCCCCACCAAAATGCTAGATGAGGTGTGAGGAACAAGCCTGAAGGATGGCGATAGGAAGGAGTGAGGCAGAGGCAGAACTGCTGGTAGAGGACAAGAGAAATAAAACACTATCTTTTCTTCGGCACCTCCCAGCAGGAGTTTGCTCCCTCCGAGCCTACAGACCCAACACGCTCCACGGGAAAACCCCGAGGACCCACCGATATTTATCCACATCCCCAGAATTCATAACATTTTCCACCACCCCAAGAGATTCTGTTTCTATCAAACTACCGTCCAACATCAATTACTCCAAGAGACTTCTCTTGACGTTTTCTACACAAATGTTTCTAGAATGACCTCGCTGCAGACCAGGCACCACGTTTCCCCTTAACACAAGTAGGTTTTGTCTGTATATTCCAGGATATTTTCAAACACAACTTCTTCACTGTCATTTAGAAAAAAAAAAATTAATCAAGTCACTGGCTTCTTAAAAATAATCAGCCAGTTACACAGAATTGTCATTAAAAAAATATATTATTTTTACATGCCTTGAAAAATACAACTAGAACTGAGAATTTAAAGGTTGTGAAACTTCTTTGGTAAATACATAAATAGACTGTACTTCTATAAACAATAGAAAAATACAACGTAGCCAATTCCCATAATTTTTTTATTATTACTTTCTTGTTAAGGACAGTGAAAGTCAGGCAAGAACCTCCAATCTGGCAAATTTTTGTAACTTTCTAGCTCTTGTAGCTAGGAAAAAAAACCTGAACATTTACAGCATAACATACAGCTATCTGAAATTAAGAGCAGAAGTGATAATTTAAAAGATTATTTTAGACCAACTTCATAAAGGAATAAAATGTGACTTCTTGGTCTCTGTGAGTTACTTAGCACAATCCAGGCTCTCTCCCCAGAAATGAATTCAACTTAAATAGTTAATTGAACTTAATTAAATGGGGGCAAGCTGGCCTCAGCTCCTACCAGACTGCTAAAATGAAGTGGTCGAGAGAAGGAAAAAAGCCTCAAAAAATCCCCAAACGACAGCATTTGAACTGTTAAAAGTTTGTATCAACACTTTGACAAATATTACAGAATCTCCGTTACACTTTCACAGGACCAGGCTCCTCACATCCTGTCCTAAATCACGGGGAGGAATCTTACACAATGGACACTTTACCTTCCCACGACATAGTTGGGGACCGTAAATCGCGACCGCAGATTGAGCAGGGAAACGAGGGGTGGGAAAGACGAGTTGCCCTTAAAGATGTACAGATTTATAGCAAGATGGGAAGCGGAAAGACGGTTATCGTATAAAAAGGTCCTTAAGGGAGAGCAAGGAGCAACAGGGGAGACATGAGTCATGAGCTGCCAGAGAAGAGGATGCGTATGGGGAGCAATGGACAGAGTGAAGTAGCAATAAAGGAAGTTCCAAGTCAAATGTGCTCCTTCCCAAACGTCGAGACAGACACCCAAAAGAACGGTATCTATCGACGATTAAATTCCCAGCCAATTCAGACACTGCATCACCAGCACCACCGGGACAAGGACACTCATCGACTGAAAGGACCCATTGATAAACAAGGTCCCGGACCCCAGCTCTGCTCTTTTGCTTTCTTACCAGCTCTGCTGTTTTACTTTCTTTTATAAGAGTAGTTGCCTTGAAGGTCTGTCTGTCTGTCTGCACAGGCAAGGGGCTCAACAGGAGCGAGTGGGCAAACCTAAAGTGTTCAGCTGAGACTGTGAAAGACAGTTTCACACTCCGTGAGGCTGGAGGGAGCTGCTTTCTTACCAGCTCTGCTGTTTTACTTTCTTTTATAAGAGTAGTTGCCTTGAAGGTCTGTCTGTCTGTCTGCACAGGCAAGGGGCTCAACAGGAGCGAGTGGGCAAACCTAAAGTGTTCAGCTGAGACTGTGAAAGACAGTTTCACACTCCATGAGGCTGGAGGGAGCTGCTCTGTTTAGGGGCACATTAACAGCTGCTCCACGGTGAGACAGCAGTGACTTTCTTTTATAAGAGTAGTTGCCTTGAAGGTCTGTCTGTCTGTCTGCACAGGCAAGGGGCTCAACAGGAGCGAGTGGGCAAACCTAAAGTGTTCAGCTGAGACTGTGAAAGACAGTTTCACACTCCGTGAGGCTGGAGGGAGCTGCTCTGTTTAGGGGCACATTAACAGCTGCTCCTACAGTGAGACAGCAGCAAATAAATAGTGATTTTCTGAGCCCAAGCACAAAGTTACTGCACTCCCCACTTCCCTTTGCCATTCCAGCCAGCATCAAAAGCGTCAAACCCCAAATTATGGCGCAGGATTCCTAGTACTCTCAAGTATCTCAAGATTTTAAAAAGTGACTTCCAAGAGTTTCAAAAGGGGCTACTTTTGAAATAAAATACAACACTGAGCGATACATGGAAGGTGAAGACAAACAGCTGTTTGTGCATGAGTATCATCTCTAGGAAGATCTGTCAAAATCTCAAGAAAGACAAGTTTCACAGGAGTCTCTAAACAAGTAATTAATTCTCTTCTTAGTATCCACATGAAAGGCAAAAGTAAGTATGACAGTAAATATTTCAAAGTATTGACAAGTCACAAAATGAAATTTTAATATTAAAAAAAACTGTTGTAAAAGAAAAAAGGGAGGGGAAAGAAAACTTAATTTTAAAATTGTATCAAAACCAAGAAAGCATCTCTTTGTTTATGGACAGCTTTTCTACCCAGATTTTATGTGAAAAATACATACATTATAACCAAGCGTATACTTCACAAAATAGTGTGACTTATTTAAAACTTTTCAAGGCTACCTAAGTGTTTTCAAGTTAGGGAGGCCACCTAAAAATTTCCAAGTAACTAAAAATCATGCAGATCTTTCCTATCTTGCAGAGAGAACAAGCACGAAGTTAGCTCTTGTGGCATCATGTGCTGCCCACTCCAATTTTAAGCTCAGAGAAAATAACAGTAAAACTTGTACATCCTTCAGTCTGGGCAAGACACGTACGTGCTGATGGGGGCAACCTCAACAAGCACATTGGGTACCTACAGCTGTGGTGGTACAAGTTGTACACATCATAGAGCCCAACTCAATCAAGGTGACTCTAGATAGATAGATAGATAACAGGAAACCTTCATGCCCTGTGACACCTGTGGGGTCCCAGGACTGACCCCAACATCTCCCGGGTGATTGCTGGAACCCTAAAGTGCTACCAAAAATGGCACTACCACTACTTTTTCCAGATCATATCTATAATTGGAAGTAACTGTGGCTACTGTTCTTTGTAACTCCCTTCAACACCATGAGTGTTGGTCCCATTTACTAGTTAGGATCACCTTTGGGACTTCAGAAGAGCCTAACAGCAATTTTGCTTCACAGCTGAACCACAGGAGAGCTGAGAAACCAGCACCAAGCTCCACGGGCACGTTCACCCATGCAAGGAAGCACCTAGAACATCTGTGGCATGAAAGAGCTACCACACAACAGAGACTTTCAGTACATTTTGTAGATGCAGGGGGTTCCCTGGTTCCAGCCTGAGCAGACGCACACAAACCCCACCCAAACCCCACCAAAGTCCTACTACAGACGTTCAGAAAGGTGGTCTCAGCCCTTCTTTAAACAGATCTCACAAGGTCACACAATAACACAACCGAGGAACCAGGCTCCTAAGGCTAGAGCCCCCATGGCTATTCTTATACTCCAATTACACAGTTCTTCCTATGTCATTTTCAGTGACCCATGCTCGGTATTATCAAGATAAACATTATTATTGGGAGGCTTAAAACCTCATCAACTCAATTCTGAATAAACACACTGTGCCTAGCAACTATACTTTAATTCACAGCCTTTAATTCCTTCCGTGGTGTCAGTTTTAGGGGCCTGGAGCTGCCGTGGCAGCTGAAGGCACAGCACTCCCAGCCCTGGCAGCCTTTCAGAAGCCACAACACCCCGAGTTCTCGGAAGGGGTGAGGAGATGGACTGACCTGGTTGATGGAGTTGGCAGCACAGGAGGCCAGTCCGGTTCCGAGGGAGGCCAGCAGGAAACAGGTCAGGTCAAACGGGACTGGGGCCATGGCAAAGCCAGCAGACGCCGTGCTTACAACCAGAGCTGCAACACAACCGAGAGCACAGGTCAGGCATCAGCAAGAAACCAACTCCTTTCTACAGACCACCAGAGTTAATGTTGCTAAACCCTGTAAGAACCCTCGTGTAGATTAGCTTTTTACTACTTTTATGGATCAAAGTAGCTACAGGAACTGTGTACAATTAATATTAATATTCTACATAAAGAAGACAAAGATGAGAACAATTAATATTAATATTCTACATAAAGAAGGCAAAGATGAGAAGGAGAACTTAGAGCAGCCTGGGAGACCTTAGAGCCTCTTCTGGTCCCTAAAGGGGCTCCAGGAGAGATGGGGGAGGGACTCTTGATCAGGGAGTGGAGCCACAGAACAAGGGAGAAAGGCTTTAAACTGGAAGAGGGGAGATTCAGATGAGATCTCTGGAAGAAATTCTTTCCTGTGGGGGTGGTGAGAGCCTGGCCCAGGTTGGCCAGAGAAGCTGTGGCTGCCCCATCCCTGGAGGGGTTCAAGGCCAGGTTGGAGGGGGCTTGGAGCAACCTGGTCTGGTGGGAGGTGTCTCTGCCCAGGGCAGGGGGTGGGAATGGATGGTCTTTAATGACCCTTCCAACCCAAACCATTCTGTGATTCTATGAACTGTCATGGCTGAAATGAGAAACTCAGAAGCATCAGCTCATTAGTAGATGAAGTGAGAATAAAACTTAGGCCTCTGTATTCCTTACTTTATGAACTCACTACAGGATCTAACAGCCTCATGTAACACGTACAGGAGATGCATTTGTTCCACTAACACACATGCCACTGCACAATATAACATGGAAGAAAAACAGTAAGAAAAATCCCAAATTGAGAGGTATGCATTATATAGCAGGAACTTAAGCAATGCAGAAAGTCAAAAAGAGACTCAGGGCATGTAGGCTACAGCTGGTGAAGTAACTTCATCGTGCAGGTATCTGCTCACACTGGTCCCATTTCACATTCCCACTTCAGGCAGAAGATAAAAAATAAATCATCACATGGACTCAGCAACTTTTAAAGGCCTCAAATTTTGAGTGGATTAATAAAAATCCGTTTCGATTTTGTCATCCAAAATTATAGCTTCAGTACAGTACTGCAAGTCACATCCTTAAAATGAAAGTTACCCAAGTCTCAACCCCAGCATTGTAATTACCCAAATAATAGGTCTTAGGAACCTCACTTTTGGCAAGAAATAATACATGAAAAAAATTCTTATACTAGAAAAGTCAGCACATTTACTGAATATCTTGTTCACGGCCTTGAACTGTACAATCTAAAATTAATAGTTACTAAACAGAAAGTATTTAAATAATATTTCACATGTAATTACATGTTCCAGACCTAAGCTAGCTCCAATCAAAGAATCAAAATGGTCTTATCTTCCCAATTCCAAAAGTCTCCTGCTTGCCTGAAGTTAAATGACAAATAAATAACGTTTGCTGACTGAAAATACCTGGATTATCTGCTAAGCAGCGTTACTGGAGATGAAAACCTAAATGTCACAGCAGAGACCTGCCAGTGAGGATGCACATGCAAAGTGCTAATTTTAAGAACTGCGCCTGCCTAAGAACCTTAGGATTTAATCCTAAAAAGACAGGGAAGAAAACTTGCTGCTCATCAAAACTTTCCTCAAAGTATTAAGATCCATTGGCAGCTGAATGTTAGTATAATAATATACAGAATATTATTCTCTACACTAATTATTCAGCCATGTTATGGATTCGCAGGCTGGCAGCGCGTAGTGTCAGGGTCCCTGCCTGGTACCAAGGGGAGTCCCTGGGCTTTGATTCCCTTGGCTCTTGCTGTGGCCCTTCAGAAACTGCTAAAATAGAACCAAATCTGCAATAAATCCCTATAACCCCACACACATACACAAGTGCTGATCGTTTCTGAAATACTGGACCCCATTTATTATATAAATACAACAGCATCTTGTTGTATTTATACTCTGGAGTTTTGAAAGAGCCCACAAGCAAATATGAACTGCATTGGTTTACAACTGATAAAGTTAAAAAAATACACTGAAAAGATGATGGTGAGAGAGTGGCGTTTGCATTTCTGAGAGTGATTACATTCATTTTTTTTGCATAATAAATCACACGTGCACTCCTAGACAAGAATTTAATTAAAACTTCTCTTAGAGAGCACTTTACACCAATTTATTATAGGAAAACACCAGCTCATTTGCCAAAGAAGAAAGGTGGAGCGGGTTGGCAAACAGTCAGTGTAACATCACCCTCACCCTGACCTCAAAGAAATCCTAATACTGTACGGCTACAGCACTAATTAAAGTCCCCATTGATTTCTCCAGATTAATTTCAGCCAGTCATTTCGGTGTGACTTATCAGGCTCTCATTAAAAAAGATTGCAGTTCATCCTCTCACTTATCCCATCGGAACGGGTATTGGAGCTCTTTGGGCAGCTCCGGACACCGGGCATTCCCTGCCTCCCTCATCGCCCAGAAATTCAAATGCAACACATCGAGAGTAAATGAGGAAAGGTTCCCTTTGGATCTGGAAGTTTATTTTCTTTTATTGTGGAAGCAATCATTTCTTGTGCTGCTTTCCTCATGGAGGAAAAGTATATTTAATTGAGATCACATCAAGGGAATGAGGTCATTGACTCTGTTTGTTTTTTAATCTCTGTTAGTTTAGTGCTTTAGGGGACAATTTAACTTCACCTTATTGCATAATAGATGGAATTGATCCTTTCAAGATTTGTTGATGAGAGTTGGCATTATATACGCTCTTCAAAAAGAAGCCAGGATTTAAACTTATGATCTCAGCCTAAACCTAATTTTCGGTCTTTTAAACATCTTTAGCTTTAACAAAAATCAGCAAGGGGCATTTGTCTCCAATTTCAATGTAAATGAAAAAGAAAATGTTAATGAATTGGTGACAAGAAGAGTGAATTATGATGTTTCTAGCAGAAAAACACATTCAAAAAGTCTATAGCATACAGTATTCTCTACATTCCCCTTCAGCTTCACTGTTATGTGATCTGCCTTTATAAATCCCTGTATTTGTATTTATAGCATGTGAATCACTGCCATATTTTGTTTACCTCCTATTAAAAAGTAGCCAAGCCAAAATAAAAGCGTAGAAAGCCAAAGCAAACCAAGCTTTTGATTGCCTTTCTACTCCCGTACTGAGGATGTATCAGTACATATGGAAAGACAAAAGCAAACGCATTTCGATTTTAATTTAAGAAACAATTCCACTGTTTTACTACAGAAGCTTTTATATTCGTTAAACAAAACCAGCATTCCAAAACCTGATGGAATGTTCCTTCCAGAGTTTTCACACTTTGGCTTCTAGGAAGCTCAACGTGGCAACAGCATTAGTGCTACTAACCAACCAAGGCTCCCTTTACAAACTTTGATTTGTCTGGGGTAGGCACATCTAACTTTTGTTTCTGATTATAACCTGCACATTAAAGAAGGCCAAACTCCCAAAGCAAACTTGGGACAATAATTTGAAACAAGTCTTTGCATCATATCATATAAAATTCAAGTGCAGTATTCCAAACAGAGCAAATAATCTTTTTTTACCATCAAACAATTTTAAAATGATTTACAAAAATAAACCATGAGAATAGTTTATTTTTATTTCATTAGTTTTCCTCATAGCACGGAAAACAAATTGCCAGAAAGCTACATTAAGCTTTGTTTCTTTGATAGGATAATAGTTACTGTTTTAATAATCGCAAAATGAGAACTACTTTGACAGGCATATGAAATATATTTAAAGCTAAGGATAAATGTAGACTAGTAATAATCTAAACAATACATACCAATAAATCTTTGTCAAAGTTTCTGGCTATATTAAAGCTACTATTTAAATAAATACTGTTATTCCAGGATAAAATGGAAACACAGTAGATCTCTACTGAAGGGTTTCTGCTAGAGGCACACTGCCGCAGGCTGCCCAGGGAAACTAGGAAGTTTTAGGAACTCAGTTCCTAAGAGTTTAGGAAACAGTTTAGCTGGTTGGTTTTAGAAGCAGACAAAAGAGCATCAAGTCAGGAGTGATACACCTAAAGGTGACCCTGATTTGAGGGAAAACAGATCAGGTTAGAAGTTTCCCCGTGATTCCACCCGGATACTGCACACGCGGAACCAAAGAACGACACCAAGTGCAGAAGTTTCTCCAGTGAGATCTGCAACAAAGTCTTCAGTAATCAGAAGAGAACAGCAACATTCATCATGATTTAATGGATTGACTATTAAAATGTACTTTGAAGAAAATACTTCCAAAACTCTAAAACACCACCTAAGAGTTGGAAGGTAAAAATGCCTTGCAATGAGATGCCATAAAAGAATATAAAGCCTTTGGGGAGAGACCGTGACTTTGCATATGATCTCTGGGCAAACAACAACCAGTTAACAAGCAACTGTGAATGAAAAAGAATCTTTAGACAAATTAATATGCTTGCGAACACAAGTAGCCTTTGGGGAGAGACCGTGACTTTGCATATGATCTCTGGGCAAACAACAACCAGTTAACAAGCAACTGTGAATGAAAAAGAATCTTTAGACAAATTAATACACTTGCGAACACAAATAAAAATGTTAAATGTAGTATATTAAAACACGGGGTAAAGGAAAGGTAGATAAATGTTTAAAACATATGGGTTCTAGTGTGACTTTTAACGGAGACGCCTGGAGTCAGGACTCGCTGGGCAAACAACAACCAGTTAACAAGCAACTGTGAATGAAAAAGAATCTTTAGACAAATTAATATGCTTGCGAACACAAGTAAAAATGTTAAATGTAGTATATTAAAACACAGGGTAAAGGAAAGGTAGATAAGTGTTTAAAACATATGGCTTCTAGTGTGACTTTTAAAGGAGACGCACATTATGGTAGCCTGGAGTCAGGACTCAGCGCTTCCAGGCACGGCAGAGACAGAGATACACTAAAGACACAGCCCCTTCCTCAATGAGCTTGTAAATTAGATTAAAAATTCTGCAGCTGCTTAGAAATCAGCAGTTAACTTTGCATCTGACCCATGCTGATACACCCACTTCTCAGACAGGTGGTGCATCAGGTGCTCCACATCTATAGCAGGCTGTCCTCACCGAAAGACCAAGGTGAAAGACCTTTACTACAGGAGCAACAATGAGAAAATGTCCAGAAACCACAGCACCCGGATACTGCACACGCGGAACCAAAGAACGACACCAAGTGCAGAAGTTTCTCCAGTGAGATCTGCAACAAAGTCTTCAGTAATCAGAAGAGAACAGCAACATTCATCATGATTTAATGGATTGACTATTAAAATGTACTTTGAAGAAAATACTTCCAAAACTCTAAAACACCACCTAAGAGTTGGAAGGTAAAAATGCCTTGCAATGAGATGCCATAAAAGAATATAAAGCCTTTGGGGAGAGACCGTGACTTTGCATATGATCTCTGGGCAAACAACAACCAGTTAACAAGCAACTGTGAATGAAAAAGAATCTTTAGACAAATTAATATGCTTGCGAACACAAGTAAAAATGTTAAATGTAGTATATTAAAACACAGGGTAAAGGAAAGGTAGATAAGTGTTTAAAACATATGGCTTCTAGTGTGACTTTTAAAGGAGACGCACATTATGGTAGCCTGGAGTCAGGACTCAGCGCTTCCAGGCACGGCAGAGACAGAGATACACTAAAGACACAGCCCCTTCCTCAATGAGCTTGTAAATTAGATTAAAAATTCTGCAGCTGCTTAGAAATCAGCAGTTAACTTTGCATCTGACCCATGCTGATACACCAAAGACCAAGGTGAAGACATCCTTTACTACAGGAGCAACAATGAGAAAATGTCCAGAAACCACAGAGAAATATCTAATGAAAATACTCAGTGTTTTTTATATCGTGCCTTCAACAATTTTCCCCCCAATTAAAAACTAAAGTTTAAATTTCTACTGGTTTTGCACATACTCATCTTAGTTTTCATCTGTGACCGCTAGGGAAAACATCATTTACACAGAAACTTGACATTAAATTTAAGATGAGACAACCCAAAATTCTTACTGAGTTCGCATTATAAATCAGAGAAATATCTAATGAAAATACTCAGTGTTATTCATATTGTGCCTTCAATGATTTTCCCCCACATTAAAAACCCAAAGTTTAAATTTCTAGTGTTTTTGCACATCTTAGTTTTCATCTGTGACCACTAGGGAAAACATCATTTACATGTAAACTTGAAATTAAATTTAAGATGAGACAAGCCCAAATTCTTACTTATAAATTATTGTAGTTTCGCATTATAAATTATTGTAGTTCCCTCCTATTACCATACCTCTCTCCTCTCTCTCCTGTTTTCAGCTACACATGAACTTTAGGATAAATTTGAAGACAATGACACTTATAATTCTGAAAACTTATCTGAGAGACACGTTCTCTTGCCAAGTGCCTGGATGGTAAAACCCAGCTGTTCAGAGCATGGCCAGAGAGATACACAGAGAAAGGGAAAGATGGAAATTGAACCCCAAAAAGGTAGGTTATGCGACAAGTAATTAAAGAGCTCCCTAATTGTTTTCTATGGCAAAAGAATATAAACAAAACCCTTTTCCTGTTGGTAAGGCAGAGCTTCTAATGGCAGAGTCACAAGAGCAGAAGTTTACACAAAGCAGGAGGGTTATGGTAATCACTAAACTCATTTCCTTTCAAAGGTGAATTACAGTTCAGAATACAAACAAACATTCTCTTTACTTCAGCAGCAGGGAAAGGGGAGGGCATAAGGAAGTCCCATTTTAGCATAATGCAGAGTTTGTTTTTTTGTTATTTCATACTCTAAAACGTATAAATAAAGAGTCTGCCAAGAAAAACACACAGGATATGAGATCTATCAGAACTTCATGGGTGAAGGGAATGGAGTTGTGTGTCATTTGTAACTTAAAAACTGACCTCAGAGAATTTATTTTTCTTTAAAAAAAAATAAAATCAAAGAACTACACCACCATATTCTTTACAGAATACGTAATTTGTCTAAATGATTACAGAAGTTGGAGAAAAGCTCATTCTATTTCCTTTCTTCGCACATTACACCCAATATTTTTCCTGCTCTTCTCCTACACTGTCCTCTGAGCAATGAAGACCAACAATAGAACTCCCCTCCTACAAACCCCTCTACATCCAACTTCTTTTACACTTTCTACTTCCAATAAAATCTCCTCACTCCAGATCATCTTCCCCATCAAATATATAAAAATTACAACGAGAAGAGAAATTAAGGTTCTTTTCCATATCTCTGTACCTTCTCAACAGTTTATGACACTTAGCACATCTCAAAATGCAAACTCATACAAAACACTCATGAAGCAATAGAAATTCTGTAACCATTGCCTTCTAGAGCTTTCAAGGAGCACCCTATTTTAAAGCAAGAGTGGTACTTTCTTGCCTGTCAATATTGCCCTTTGCAGTTACACAAACGCCTACTGGAAGCTCTTGAAAAGTTTAGCTGCAACAGCGAGGCCACACAACAAAAGCATCACAAAATTTTTCAGATTATCTTTTGCTGGTACTTTTAATATCAATGTCACAATAAGCACTACTAAAGTGAAATGTAAATAAATAAGCCAGAACCTTGGTAAACTTAAGCAAGACTACTTTAAATACTACTACTTAACAATTCTTGTAAATTCACTTCCTAATCCAGTTTCACCGTATTTTTTGGTACTAATGCTTGCTTATGATTCCCAGAAGCTAGTTGGCAATACAATGCAAGCTCCTCCTCGCTGTTTTTCATCAAATTCAATGGGAAAACTATTAAATGCTTCCATAAAACAATTTTTCCCTGCCCACATTTGATGGAATTTCCCTAGGTACTCGGCATCAGTCAGGGGGGAATTACCACACAAAAGCCTACAAGGTACCAGTAAAATCCTAAAGAATTTTGATATCAAACAGGACGCACAGAGTGAAAACAAAGAGCCAGCAGTACCTGTAAGCTTAATTTTGGACAAGCGTGCCAAAATTCCTGGCAAATCTTCCAGCCGGAGCTTCATTTCTTTCCATTGTCTGTCGTCTTTGGGTTCTGCTCTTACTGGGGTGACTGAGCCTTCAGCTTCTGCAGCCGACTGCACTTCTCTCAGCTCATTTCTGCTCGACGTCTCAGACAAAGGCTGATGAACAGGTGAAATTGGTCTAATCTTGTATATAACCTTTTTTTCTTGATCCAGCTGCTGAAGCTCACGAAAAGGAGATGCAACTGAATCTGACTTAGGTTTGGCTCGTTGGCTGAGGTCTTTGTTGTATTGCGTTACATACTGGATAGAATGAGAAATGTTAAAATGAATAGTTAAGAAGACAGCTTTGTCCATTTCAGGTTATTAACACCATCAATTATACTGCTATATTGTTCTTATTTGCAGAATTAGCTCCTATGATGACATGACTGAGTTGGCCTGAGTTTCAAACACTTATTTCACATGCAAAAAAGTTTCTGAAGTTGGACAAGGTATTACAAAGGCAGCTTTTCATTTCACAGCTGCATCAATAATGTTTACTTAAGCTTGAGGAATTGCTTCTGCATAAACCTATTTCCTCCCTTATCGTTTCAACAGCAAACTCCATTCATATTTAAGAGTACCAGATAATATTATTTGATTTACAGCCGATAAATTCACCTTTAAACAGAGGTACACAAATGCCCATAACAATTCCAGTTTCTAAATATATGCACAGAATTTTTTGTATCTTTAAGATTTAAAAAAAAAAAAAAAAAAACAGAAAAATGCCAGAAAATACAATCTACCTCCTATGATATAAAATCACCTCCCACATTAGGCTATTACTACTTATCTCAAACCTTATACCAAACCTTATAATTTACTAGACTTCACAATTTTAAACAGAAGTTCAAATGAACATATATGAAAAGACAGCTCCACTTCAAAGGCACAGAAAGACCCCGGTCAGACAGGTGACATGCTGCAGCCCAAGGTTTTGTCCTTGCCACAGTGGGCTTCCTCTGACCTCAAATATTTTAGGTCCCAAGTGCTTAACTTTGATGCAATGCAGAAAAGGAGACACTGGGAATTGCCTGAGCTTGGTTGATACGTTAATCCCCGTTTTGACTCATCACTTGGGACAAAATGAATTAAAGAAGGAGAAACATGGGATAAATACACTCCCTGACTTACCATTCGTTTGAGAAAGTTGAAGTACTGAAACGTAACCAATCTGTCATTGGCTACACGGCAGAGGTGCACGAAGTGGCATGGTACCTGCCGGATTCCAGTGCTCTTCAGATGCCAGATAAATAATCCTATTTAAAGAAAAAATTGAACATTACATTCAGGTTCCCTCTCCGCCACTGAGTTTGCTTCTAATTCAGACTGCAACGTCTGTCACCAGCTGTGACATAAGACACCCCACAAATGGGAACCAGAGCTGCTTGGGTGGGGAGAAACATGTTTGCAGGCTCCAGGGGACAGAACTGAAAAGCAGAACATTGCCCTGATGGTTTGGGAGATTCTTCCAAACCTCCCACCTCCCCAGAGATGCATCCTTGTTTTTTTTCTGCCATGACTGTCTCTGCATGTTATGAATAACATCACCTTGGCCAAACAGCACAAGCAGCACTGAAAGGAAGCAGCTGAGATAGGGCAGCACCAAAGTCAAACGCATCAAGAGGAAACCCCTGTGCGACACGACACCTACATCCCTATACAGAAGGATACACACAGAAATATACATGCTCTGTATGTTATTACATAGAGCAGCCTCGGGGACTACTCCCAGTCCGGGGGTCGCCCCAGCCCACCCGCCCCACCGGCCACCCCACAGCGCCAGCCTCGGCCCCCTTCCGCCCCCAGACCCCTCCGGGGCCTCGCTGCCCCGCGGGCGGCAGTACCTGCCATCGCCCGGGGCGGGCTGCAGCGGCGGGCAGCGCTCATGGCCACAGCGCTGCTCCCGCCGCCCTCTCCCCTCACCGCCTGGGCGCCGCCATCTTGCCCGGCATGACCGCTAAACGACTTCCGGGTCGGCACTTCCGGTGGCGGGGCGGGGCCCAGAGGCGGGAGCGGGGCTAGGACCGGGCCCGGGGCTTCCCCACAGGCCGCAGCCCGGGCGGTCGGGCCCCGTCAGGCTGCGAGGAGGCACCTTTGGCCCCGCCGTTCCCCGTAGAGGCCGAGCCCGCCGCCTCCTGCTCCCCGTGGGGGAGAAGCGCCTCACGGGCCCGGGCGGCTGGATTTCTGTGTGGAGAGACGGCGCGGTGGGGGGTGTGGGTGAAGGCCGCTTCTGCCAAGCGGGTGTCACCCTTAAACCCAGAAATACCCCCCGAGGGGAGAGCTGCTCGGTGGATTTCGGGGTGTAATAACATATTAGGGCGTTCGGGCGGGAGCTGGGGCCGGGCTGGAGGCTCCAGGCACCTTTCCCATGGAGAGGCGGCCCCGAGCCCTGCCTGGGGGATCCTCCCGGCCTGGCGCTGGTTGGAATTCCCACATCCGCATCCCCGGGCTCGTTTTTAGCGACCAGTTACAAACTGGGTGGAGTGTCTGTGAAAGAGAGCAAGAGGGTGCCCTGGGGTTCGTGGGGAGCTGGCATAATGCTTGTAAAAGAACCCAGAGAGCTCTGATAAAAAAAAACTCATTCTTGAGGACAGGGAGTCTCATTCCCCAAAGGACCTGAGCTTTAAAGAGCCAAAGGCTTGGTAAAAAAAATAATAAAGTGAAATCTGTATCAAGTTCCTAAAGTAATTTTGGGAAATGAAAGCTTGATTTCTATACCCTTTGGGTGAAATTACACGTTGGAGGAGGTCAAATGGAAGAGCTGACCCTGCTCTCATCTCACCTCCTTCTGGGGGTGGCTGCATCCTTTTCTAAGCTGCCTCTACTTGCTAACCTGAAAGGAAAAAAAAAAGCTTTTTTTGTTGATTTAAGTATTTGAACTCACCCTGCGCAGGGTCTGATCAGTTGCAAGCTGGTGCACGGCACGGAGGAAGGGGCCTCGACTGGAGTCTGAACGGAGAGGGAAGGGAATGGTTAGGACTGCTCAAGCTGTAAAGCGTAATTGCCCCCCCAGGCACCTTTAAAATGTTTTCTCTTAAGAGTTTAAGTTCAGGAGATGTAGGCTATAAGTCACTTAAATGCTTTTGAAAATCATTCTCAATATTTTAACATGGAAATCTTCCTCAGGACCATCTTCCTCCCAGGCTTTCATTTCTTTATAGTGCTTAAATTCATGCAAAAGTCATCTTAAATCATTATTAGGAAGATAAAATGAAAACACTCACTCTAATTCACCAAGAATATCCTACTTTGAAGCATTTATTTCCACTCTCTTTCTATTTGGGGAGCTGGGGAGAAATTAGGACTTCACATTTCTTACAATTAATATCCTGTTTCACTCCGACTTCTCATCACTCAGTGTGTATCACTTCACGGTTCCTCTTTGCATCTCGAGTTTTCGCAACTTCCACGGGCTTGGCCTCAACTTGAATTTACACCTGCAAAAAGAAAATAACCATCCCGTGGCAAACACACACAATAGTTACACAGAGGGCTGGAAAAGTTGGATGGGTTTGGTTTTTAGGGTGGTTTGGGTCAGAGAGGAAAAGGTTGAGGTAGCCCCATGTTCTACGGCAGGGCTGAGATTTAAGATTTAATGGTTTTCATTGCCTTTCACTTGGGCAATAAATTGCCCCCTGGAGAGAGGGGGTAAAACATTACTTTTCTAATTAAGGAAAATCTTATCCACAGGCATCAAGAGAGAGAATGCCTCCTTGTGTAACAATAATGGTGGTTTAGGGGGTGCAGAACGTCACGTGCCCGCTTCGGTTTAACCACTAAAGCTAAAAAACAACTTAGGTTTTGTAGTGGACACAAGTATCCAAATGTAAGAGTTGTATTTCAGCCTGAAATGGCTCCACAGGCTTTGGATCTCGTTAGCAAAGGTGTGGGTCTGCAAAGTGCTGGTTCTGCAGAAACTGGTTCCATGAAATATTGGAGGCTCCAGAAAACACCCAGGTGGGGGGTTGCAGAATCTGGGGTACGGCCCTTCTGGGGGGCTCTCAGCACCTTCCCCTCTCTGCTCCCACAACCTTGTTCATAAAACTCATCTACAATGTCCCAGGACCACGTGGAGGGTGGCAGGAGAAGACCCCTCTCCTGTCCCAGGGTCCCAAGGCCAAGCACAGTTGTGGGGCAGCAATTCCTGAAGCACCTCTTAACTTCTTTGCTAATTACCAAGATGGGCAATTGCTCCGTGTCTGTTGCTGCTTCCCCAAAGTTATAAAGTAAACACCACACCTACAGGTGCGTTTTCAGGGTGATGCGAGGGGCATTTAACCACACGACTCCCATTAATGTTAATTACAGAGCACATATTAACAGCATTATACGATCCTTTTTCCTATTAGCACCATCATAAATCTCATTGGTGGGGCTTAATTAGATCTCAGCAGCAGAACGCAACAGTTTGATCCACGAAAGGGCGAATTCCTGGAGACAGCAAACTATTATTACACTTTAATCTCAAAATCTCTCCTTCTCTTACTCATAACACCAACAAGGCTTCTTGTAAGATTGATTTGTTGTCAGAAAATGATTTAAAGACCGACTGTAAAAATATTATATTTTCCTTGCTGCGGAGAATGCGGCATTGATGTTAGAGCTCCGTGGAGACTTGATGTACTTTCAGATAGGGGATTCTAAAATCTAAGCGCAAAATAAATAAGGTGGCATCCCGCTGTTGTTGTGGTAACCTCTGCAGATCATTTCGGAGCCGGGGCTGTTGTGGATTTTAGGAATAGACCATGGGGGGAGGTAGAGCTTTGTGTGGTTCTACCCCGGTCAGCTGAAGCCCAAGTGTATTTGCTTTTTGGGGGCCCAGTTATAGCGTGTAACAGAAGAAATGGTGTCCAAACTGAAGGGCACTAGGAGATATCAGAAACATGAAATAACAGATAAGAAGGAGTAAGACAGTGTTATAGGCTGAGCCGGGCTGTAGCGATAGAAAGTTGATTGCTTAAGGCATTTAGACTGAGCAGAAGGTATCTGGGCACCACCAGTAACATCCCTGCTGAGACCTCCTGGAGCTAAATTAGCTTCAGTGGCTGAGAAACTCCTGCTGACCCTGATGAACTACCCATTAGGTAGTTCCTTGAGTCAACTGTAATGAGATGGGTTTGGGGGTTTGTGTGATTTTCTACACATCAGCATTTGTGACGCACAAGCTTCATATCAATGCAAGATTGAAGCATAGATATATTTTTGTCCTAAGTAAAGAAACTCAACAACCAGAAGAAAAATGTGCTGGTACCAGCTGAGAGCCTGAAACTTCCCAATTCCGTGCTATTAAAGACTCGCCCTCAGCAAATAACTCCAAGTGGAAAGTAATAGGTAAAAAAAAAACCCACATCAAAACCCTCAAACCCTTCCCACCATCCCAATTCCAGGGTTTCGGAGTAGTTAAAGCTTCCAAGAATAAGTGAAATAGTAGTCCTGGTAGATCAGGGCTCAGTAGCCTTTCTGAAGTCGTGCACCAGACTGGTTTCTTTCCCAAAGTAGAGTTCAAATATACCATAGGAAATCAGCAGAAGCTGGAAACTGCTGCCTCTTCCCAGCTGTCAAAGGTGGCCTTGGGCTGACCCTGTGGAATGCCATTTTTTTGGCAAGCCCTGTGTTGCTTGCTCACCACCTGCGATGGACTATGAGCTAGAATAGCTTATTTCAAGTGAAAAACTTCCTTAGGTAGAGCTTTGCCGAGTGTCTGGTGTAAATTCAGCTGCGCTTGGATTTGGGAGCTGATGTCAAATCTGGTGCAAACCTGTGGGTGAGGGGATGGAGACAACGAGGTGGCTGGGGGTGAACCCCACCAAAGGCAGCACGAGGGGAATCACCCCTAATAAATGGCAAAACCTGCCTTAGGGCAGCACAACCAGCCACGCGGGTTCACGAAGGAGCCACATAACCCACTGCAGTCCCTCGTTACATCAACCATCCCTTTTTAACTCACCCTGCCATGGTGGTGTGACAAGCAGTGATACCTCTTATTCCTTAAAGTTCTCAGCTGGAGTCAACAATAGCTATTTCCAGCAGCCTTTTCCCCTGAAAATGACATTCTGAAGAAAAGGACCTGTGTCCTGTGCCCTTTCAGCTGAGAATTGCTGCCTGAATATCTCCAGAGCCCCTTTCTAATTTTTTTTTTTTTCATACCTCCTTTCAGAGGTCTTTCTTTTCCTGGAAAATCTATGTGAAATTCCCAAGCTGCCGAGGACTCAAAAGATCTAATAAAAATAAGATTTATTAAGAGCAGAGGGAGGAAATCAGATTAAAACTGAAGAAACAGCTTGCATAACTGATCTCCTCTACTCAGCAACTGCTCAGGAAGTGCTCGGTGCACACACATTAACTGTTTTGTGGAAGCACTTCTCAGCCCCATAGCCGGGACCAGCAGGCACGGTCTGGGAGTGTGTCTTCTCCTCAGACATGGCCATTAGTTGCACAAAGGCCACCAGTGCTCATGCTCGCAGCTTCTCAGCACCAGATGCGAAGTCGTGTTTCGCTGAACCGCGATTAACTCATTTTGGCTGCTGCTGGGGAGGAGCGGGCAGACCTCCCCCGGTAGCAGGGAGGGACCCCAGGCAATGCTGTGCCCAGAGGAACTCAAGGCACCAAGGCTCTCCAAGCTCCTCAGCCCAGTATCCCACACCACAGCCAGTATCTCTGCTTCTGGCCACCACCAGCTCTCAGTGGGAGCAATATAGAACCATAGAACTGTCTGGGTTGGAAGAAACCTTTCAGATCATTGAGTCCAACCATTGATCTGACACTGACAAAACCACCCATGTCCCTCAGCACAATGTCTGCCCAGTTCTTAAATACCTCCAGGGACAATGTCTGCCCAGTTCTTAAATACCTCCAGGTATAACTCCACCACTTCCCTGGGCAGCCTGTTCCAATGCTTGACAACCCCTTTGGTGTAGAAATTTTTCCTAATATCCATCCTAAACCTCCCC